CTTTTCCCTCTTCTCACGTTCCCTTTTCCCTCTTCTCACGTTCCCTTTTCCCTCTTCTCACGCGTTTCATAAAGGGGCGTGTCACTTTGCAACCTGCGGCGCGCCCACGTTTTATTAATTAGACAATATTCTTCTAATAAAAGCCCACCACACTGTCAACTTTGAGCTCAATTATCTCGATTCCTGTTAAAGATATAAACAAGTTGTCAACAAGTGAATTGTTTATCGTAATATCAGAAGTGTTTTGTCAGTTGACACATTTTTGATATCTTGCATAGGAATTGAGATAAAAAAGCTCAAAATGAACAATGTGGATGCCGTTCTAGTACAGACTTTTTTGAATGTTCAGATGATTAAAGGTGGGGGGACAGGAGATTTTTCGTAGTGTTTTTGTAGCTAGAGTATGCATTCTACCGTCACGGTGTACAACGCTTAATTTCACTCTGCGTACAGATGTCGTCCTCGCCTTTATGTATGCAAACGGGCGTGCGCTTTCTCTTTGCCCGCGTGGCTCAGTCGGTAGCGGCGCCGCACCCTCAATCATCGCCCTCGCAAGTTCAACTCCTCGAGGGGCATCTTTGAACGGAATTTCGAGAACATCATTTTTTTCATGTCCCCCCACCTTTAAAAACAACTTACACTGTGGGCAAACTGTGTGTTGGGGTTCTCCTCGTTGTCTCAATATATTTTGCCCCGACTCCGTTCATAATCTGGTTTTGTGGGATTTCAAAAAGAGCAACTTGAATTTTCAAGTATTCCAGCTTTTGAAATGCTTTTCCTGAGACGAAGGAAAGAAGAAATAGATCGGAAGTTCTCATGTTATGAAGTATCTCCTTTTGAATAAAACGCGGATATTTGAATAGAATCATTCTTTGTTGTTCTGAAAATATTTAGAATAGCTTGTATGAGGGCAAGAAGAACGGTAAGGAAAGTGACTAGCGACTCAATTAGAAGACAAATACAATGAAAAGAAAAGAGGAATTTTGCAACGTGGCAGATGACACTAGAAAGGTACTGAAGACGTAGAGTCCAATGGTAATGACCTTCTATTAGAGTTGCTTCACTAAGGAAGCGACTGATAATATGAATGCGTTACCAAGGTAGCGCATAGTTACCCAAAATCAAGTTTGTTCTAGCATAAAACTTGAGAAAAGCTTCGTACTGGGCTCAAATTTGAAGAGCGAGAATTCTAATAATCCATCAGTAATCTGGCCAAGAGAATCATTTGATCAAAATTGAGCTAAGTTATCGCTTATCGAAGTTGCTTCATCTCATGAAAATCACAACGGCGTGCAAAAAACATTTAATCTTCGGACAATCATAACAATACCTAGACTTGAGAAATCGCTTTGAAAATTTCAGTAGCTTCGAATCAAACCTCAAATTGTTTTTCTACTAATTTTGGGACTTCCAAGATACCTATGTCTAAAGATATACCCGTTTTTATCAGTCCGGGTAATTGTGCGCCACCCTGTAACTTTAGTGTTTTCAAGCAATCTCTCGATTTTCGCAACACCTCTCTCCGTCAAAAATCAACTCCTTTTGTCAGTTTTCATGTTTCAAATTTTGAATTAACAATACATCTTCTATTCCTCTGCTTGGCTCCATCTCCAAAACTTCCATTCCAAAAGAGCCCGGATCAAAATGTTCCTTTATTTACAAACTCTCAAGAAGTAATATGAGTTTTCAATTGAGAATGGACACAAAATAGCAGAATCGAATTTCTTTTGTAACGGTATACCTGGAAAGCAGACTACATAGATTCTGATATTTTGTATTTCATAAGCCTTTCGATTTCCCTAGAACAATTTGGATTTTTTTTGCTATTTAGATGAGAGGGTTTGTTTTCAATTTGGAAAAAAAGAAAGCTAAAAGCAATCACAGACAGTGTTCTTTCTATTTTCTCAGAATCTTGAGATGTACTCTTACTCTCTTTTTAATTTTCTTGACGCGTCTATGATTGAAATTTGAGATCTAATAGTAAGAGATTCCGAGATCAAATGTCCGAGATGTTGTTCAATTTCCGGTTATTTTTCATATCCAACACAAAGATGCAGAAAACGTTTCCTGCAAAAAAAACGGGTCAAGGTCAAAATAATGAGCATTTTGTTGCTCTTTTTCATCCAATTACCCTCTGAGCCCACCCTCTTTTTACTCTTTTTTTACACGTATTGTTTGTTCAGGAGAAGAGTCGAAAGGGCGGTGACAAACAAAACAAAACGTGTGAAGAAGGATAGAATAGATATATGGGGATCCACTTTCCCGCCTTTTTTTCTTGCTCAACCCAACACTTGAAATAAGAAATCTTTTTTTTTTCTTTTTGAGACTGGAAGAAGGAAAAATAAAGAAGAAGCGACTCATTTCGACTCACCTACTGATTCTTTCCATGTGATTTCTGGAATATATACTTTTTCCACAGTACTTTTTTCCAACCATTTTTCATAAATTTCGGATTCGATGAATTTCGAATTGAGAGCTGTGATAAGAACGTTGCTGGAAATTTAGAAAAACCGAAAAAATAAGTGTCAAAAAATTTCTTTTTGCATTTGAGGAGATTCTAGTAGGGTATCCAAGTACTAGAATTTCGGAATATTCTGATTTTCCAAATTTTGGAAATACGGAATATTCCAATTTTCAAAGTTTAAAAATTTCAGAATTTCGGAGTATTCTGGTTTAAAAAATTTTAAAATCTAGAAATTTCGGAATATCAAAATTTTGGACTTTCGGAATCTTTGGAACACTCCGATTTTCCAGATTTAAAAATTGCAGAATTTGGGAATAGAAATTCGGAACACATATTCCGATTTTCAAAACTTCGAATCTTCGAAATTTCGGAATGTTTAAAATTCCAAAATTTCGAAACTTTGGAATTTCAGAGTTTTGGAATACCCCAATTTTAAAAATTTGAAAATTGAAGAATTGAAGAAGAATTTTCAAAACCAGTCGGTTTACGCCCCTTCAGGGCTAAACCTTCTCGCTCCCGCTTACTTTACCCGTAATCATATGGAAATGTCTTTCTTTTTTATGTAAGCTACGAAAATATATGGAAGGAAGGCACATTTAAAAAATCTCAAAGTAAGAACTTCTGGAATCCACTCTCAATTTCCAAAATTCTGAATCAATTTCCAAAATTCTGAAAAAAAATCGGAACTGAAAATTTGGGAAGTTCGAACTTTTGGAAATTCACAATTTCAAAGTTAAAAAATTCGGAAGTTTTGAAATACGGAAAATCTAAAATTCTGTAACTCGAAGGTTCGGACATTTTGAATTTTAATAATTCGAAGGTAAAAGCTTTCGAAAGAAAACTTTAAAATTTGAAACTCTCAAAATCTCCTTTTCTTTAATCGCAAACTCAAATTCTCATATTCATCAGTTCGCCAATTCAAAAATTCAGAGTGTACATTTTGGACCTCTGAAAATTCAAAATTCCGAGAATTCTAAAATTTTGGATATTGGAAATTCAGATCTTCGATAATTAGAAAATTCGAAAATTTAAAAAGGGTCGAATTCTGAAATTCTCAACTTCGACATTAAAGACTCAAATTTACAGAATTCAGAAATTGGAAAAATGAAGTTGGAAAAATAATCGGGAATCAGAATCTCATAGTGAAAAAGCACCTCGAAAAAAAAAGAAATTCAGAAAGTTCAAATTCAGTAGTTCAAAAACATGAAAATTTTAAACATTCGAGAAGTCAGATATTCAGAAATTCCAAATTGGTGGCTTAATGAATTCTAATTTCTGAATTTGAATATTCTTGAATTCCTTAGTTCCATAATTGTTTGTAATGATGATTTCGAAATTTCGTAATTTGGAAAATTTGTGATTTTCCAACATTCAAGTTTTAAAGTAGAAATCTCATTCCTATTACAAATGCACCTTTGACATACCGTAGTCCAGAAGTCTCCTAATTCAAAAAAACGCTTCAGACCTATTCCGATGGGAATTTGATTCCGAAAATTTCCAGAATTCCATTCCAGACATTCCTGGAAATGCTAAGATTTTCTAAAACATACTATTGGAAACTACAAGATTCTTCTAGAAATCTTTCAAACTTATTTTTTGATTCAACGTTCTTGAGAATGTTCGGAAAGAGCAATGAAAACAGAAAACAAACCTATGCATTATTGTCAAAATATGTCAGACATTTCATTCTGATAATAATAGCATTCTTGGAAATCAAAATACTTATCATTGTGTTTTTTTTTCTAGTCGGCTATAAATTTTCCATGCTTTTCTGATTGATTTTTCCGGAAAACGGTTGTAAATCAGCAAAATTCAATTAGGTTTCCCCCGGAACCTGCCAAAAGCTACTCCTTGCTCCGTCACAACTTCGTGTTCTAATTTTCGTGAAAACGAAAACCTTTTGTTTTCATAGGTAAAGAAAATTCAGAAACTTGAAATCCAATGCCACTCAATTGAATTTGCAATTTCAAGAATTTCTCAAATTTCAAATTATAATAAAACTGACGTAAGTGGTCCCCTTCTAATTTCCTTACTCATTCCTATTCTTGTTCTAGTGAGCAAATGCACAAAAAATTTTCGGATTCATATTTCAAAAGAATAAAGCAGATGCATGTTTCTTGTGAATGATAAATAAGGTCATTAATTATGTCTTCTGTCTTTTCTCTTCTTTTTTCGACTAGAACGTTGTCTAAATCTCAATATCTCTGGTCCGATTTCTCTCACGGAACTTCTTTCTCCTTCCCGCTTTTCTCACCCACTCTCTATCATTATAATTTCACATTTTTCTTCTTCCTGTTTTACTAATTAGTAGCACTTCACTCTAATTGGAAACTCATTTTATTACTCATGCTACAAAAGAATTTTCTAGAAGCTCAGCGCTTTCAGATCTTTGAATTGTGTATGACCTGAAATTCGAATGTTCCCAGACCTAATAACTTTGGCTCACAGGAAAGTGTCGAATTTTTCTGAACTTTGAGATTTTCACATGACGTTTTTTTCTCATTTTTGAAAAGCAAAAGTCTTGAAAAATTCATGAGGATGTGCTAGAATTTTCGGTTCTCTGACAGCCTTTTCTTAGAAAAACGCATTTTTTAGAAATCGGGTTTCCGAGCAAGATTAGTCGGGAATTTATTATTCCAGTTTATTCATCTGGAACTGACACAAGTGTTCCGGATTTTGAATAACTGACATTTGCATACTCCCCATTTTACTGTTAATTGATCGTTTTCTTAGTATATATTCACTCTGGTCTACAGTAATCATCAAAGTTCGATACTTTCTGATTTTTTCTCACAACAACTTCATGATTTTCTGAATAAGTAGCACTGCAAAATGTATGCAGATTCAACTTTTTGTTTTGTTTCAGACAAAAAAGACAGGTGATTGTAGTAATTGTTTGCGCTCCAGTATCCCCAGATGACCATATGCGACTTTTCAGATTTATCAGACTTGAATTTCATAGATAAATTTGTAAAATTCTGTGAAAATGCTTAACTTATTCCCATTGGATTATTGTTATGTTCTCATATCTTCAAAAATTATTGTTATGTTCTCATATCTTTTTCGATTTTTTAAATTCTCCAGAATTAAAGTTAGAAATTCAGAATGACATCTAGCAACATTTCAATATGTGCCACTGAAGATCAAATGGTCCTGCAAACATCTCTTCTTCTACGTGTCAATGTTATTCTGATGACTACTGTAGCCATATTCACTTTTGTTCTCACCTATCGAGCATTATTCATTCTAAAACAACGCCCAATTTTCCACAAGTCGACCAAAATCTTACTATACACAAGTTTGATTTTTGTTAACATCCATGAGATTATTTTTATGGTTATTCAGGTGCGTTAATTACCGAAAAACTACATTAAAACAATTAGAATTTTCCAGTGTGTCGCATTTATAAGAAGTTTCACATTGAGCGATAAGCCTTGTGAAATAATGAGAACAACGTTGGAATGCCGGTTTAAGAATCATGTTCTGATTTTTGGAATCGCAGGAATGAACTTCAACCAGTTCGGGTTGACTGTGGATAGGTAAATATTTCTCTTTCTCATAAGTTTTGTTATTGAATGAAAAATTTACAGATTATTAGCAACAGTGATTCCACAAACATACTCTCATCTTGGATCCTTTCCTGGTATCCTGATTTCAATATTAGTGGTTAGTTTTACAATATTATTATTTTTATTCAATTTATACCAATTATTAGTACTAAAAAAATCAATTTATAATTTAAAATACCGTACATTTTTCCTCTAATAGAAGCCCAACCAAACCGTCAACTTTCATTTCAACTATCTCGGTTTCTGTGAAAGATATCAAAAAATTGTCAACTGATAAATTCATCATAATATCACCAGTGCAAACAGTTACTACATTTTTGATATCTCTCATAATTTTGACATGATTTTGATATCTCTCATAGCAACCGAGAACTATACTATTTCTCTTAATGTCACATTTACACAATATCATTTTCAGATCGGATGTAGCATTGCAGCTCCATTGATAATTGCGATCGGAGATCCCTACGATGATATCGTTCCTAATTGTTTCTTTTTCCCGCAGCATTCTGCTCCAAGAGCCAACGTCTTCTTAATTATTCTCAGTGCTCTTGTCATTGCAAGCATTTTCTTAAACTTAATTATCATTTTTGCTAACAAAAAGTTAGAGAAAGGGTAAGCACATAACATCTATTCCTTCTCCACAATAATTTGTTGTTCAGTACTCGTTACTATGTATCCCAGAGATATCAGAAGAGAGAGGCCCTAATTTCTACAAGAATTATTGTCTATATTGCCGCATCTCAGTTCCTAGGAATGGTCCTGTATTCAACAATTGTTTTGACTCTGAGACTTCATAAATCAATGATTCCGGTCTCTATGTACCATAATATTGTTTGGTGGGCCTATGTGAGTTATTCTCAAGTGTCTTCTATGTATTAATTTTCTATTTTCAGACAGTACCATTTGCAGCAGTTGCTCTGCCAGCTCTCCTAATTCACCGTATCAATTTAGTGGGTTCGAATCGGAAACGTGTCATAAATCGGATAACGGCAAAAGTGGAAACTCAAGAAGAACATATGAAATCGCTGAAAGAATTGTGGGGTTAGAGAAATAGATATTTTATAAAAAATCGTTTCATTCAATAATAAAGTGCATAGATACCCGTTTCATGACAATATAAAAAGCTTTTTGACAATTCTGAATTATTCTAATTTCCTTTGCTAAAAAGTCGCTTCACACCATGAACAATATGATGTTGGACTGATAAAAGCGCTGGAATTACGATCAATCCATGAATGAGAGATAACGAGACGCAGAGAGTCAGAGAAAGAGCAAACATTTTAGCCATGTAAAGTTCCATGAATCCAAGTGGAAGAGCGCAGAAATCTGTGGAAACTCCAGCTTGAATAACTGGAAATCCAACACTGGCCAATGCAAATGTGAGATTGGTTTCGAAAGAATTTGGGGTTGAAATTGAAGAATCTGTGGACGAAGTCGTGGATGTCGAGTGAGATGTGACGTCAGAAACTTGATGTGGAGATGGTTGAGAGTGAGATGAAGCATGCTTTTTGGCTTCTGAATTGATAACATCTTCTGGGAAACTGAAATTTCGAAAACTCACTAGCTGCATAGAAATGGAAAGCGACATGAGCTGGAATATCAACGGAAAATCCGATGCACATGATGGCAATGGACATTATAACTGGATCCAAAGTGACACCCAGAAGGGATAAATATCCAAAGACACCAACAGAAGTGACCAAAGTGGCCACTGATACAATGATAACTGTCAGGATGTCCGAGATAAACAAGAAGCAGACGAGCGAAACAAAAACAAATGTAGCAAGTGTTGTTTGCCAAGTAACAGTTGGAATTGACTGAAAAATAATTGAACTTTGGAATTCTATTGGTACAAAAAATCAAGCCGATGGTTGTTTCCCCCGCTCCCACAACAGCAACTACCGTAGCCTCAAACTACGTATGATTGTTTTTTGTGGTTAAAAAAAAAATTTATCGAAGAAATTTATCCGATCGCCTGTATTACCACGATTTTGTTTCGAAGTGTCGCAGTTTCGAAAATACGCGGAGCCATTTATGAAAACTTACATCAATCATGTCCAAGAAGAATGCGTCTTCTGTGAATACTGTCGCATTGAAATCTCTGAAAATTCAAAAATTTATTTTTTTTTTTTCGAAAAGTTCTCTTACTTTTGAAACTCTTCCACAGCTCCTCTCCAACTCTTCAGAAGAAGTCCTCTCTTATTCCAATCCTTCAGATCCTGACCATGGAATCCTGTTGTGAACATGAACTTTGTAACATTTTGAGGATGGGTTCTGAAAGGGAAGAGAGAGGTTTTTAGATCGAAAATATAGGATGCTCACTCGTTGTCGAATCTCAGAAATCCTCTCCAAAATGAGAATTCTGGCCATTCCAAAAACTGCTCAATTTCGCTTTTCGTTGGTGCTGAATCTTTTTCTTCTACGTCCATTTCTATTTCTTCCACAAAAGCAGACCGATATTGAACAAAATCACTAAAATTAGAAAATTAAATTTTCAGAACTCTAATCATTTGATAACTCACTCCAAGAAAAATTTGGTACTCGGTGCTCCAATGGCGTTCGGCATGTGCTCCAACTTCTCTTTCAGCTCGATCAATCTTTCAACATTTGAATCATTTTTCAAGTCTCCAGGATGATTAACAATGACATGAACAGGTGTATAATACGGAACAATTTCGTTAGTCCTCATGTTATCCATGTAAAGCATCGGAGAATCCTTGAGGAAGAACTTGCTCGGTCTCAATTCCACGCGTAATCTTATCAATCCTAGAACTGCGAATCCGATAAAAATCGCCCAGATCAAGACGATTCCGGTGGATACAAAGACGTTCGAAATTGCAGATACATACCATTTCAAGAATCTTCCCACTACATTTGACATCTTATCTTGGATTCGTTTCGTTTTCTCACTGACACCATTTGTATCCTTGGTATCCGCGAGAAGTGTCATGCAAGCAGTATAGAATGTAGCTTGATAGAACATATCCATAAATATAGCAGCAGCATTTCCATAACAGAAAATTCGGATTTCCGGAGGAGAAGTCAGTGCTCCGATTGTGAATGCCAACATGTTTGTGAACGCAGAAATAGAGATAGCTGGTCCCGTTTCCACGAGAACTTCTCCCATCATATGTTCTCTCATTGGTCTGTCTAATGGAGCAGTTCTCCAAGATTCAAGACGATTCCAAGCATGAAGCATCAGGAAACTGTCATCAACGGAAATGGCAAGAACTAGGAATGGAGTGATACACATGATTGGACTGAAGGTGACTCCACAGAAGAAGAGAATTCCCATTGCAGTTCCACAAGCCATGAATGGAGTGACACAAGCGATGATTGAAAGAGCAACTTTGTTGAATGTAGCTTTTTGAGAATACAGGTAGACTGCACTGAACATTGTGGTTACTGTACAGAAGATGGACATGATCACGAAACCAACGATGAGGAAGGGTTGGAGAGAAAGACCAGCTCGGACGATTTCTGAAATATTTTAGATATTATTAAAACTCGTTGTAATTTGGATGCATTTGGAGCATGAAATTTAGACTCGGGAAATTCAGAAATTCGGAACACCTGAGATCTAAAAGTTCGAAAATTCAAAAAGCTATAAATTTAGGAATTTCGAAGAATTTGGAAACCATCAGAAATTCTGAAATTTGTAAACTAAAAAATGAAGAACTCTGAAAGTTCGAAAGATAAGTAATCATGAAATTCAGATATTCAAAAAGTTGAAAGTTCAAAAATTTTTAAAAATTGGGGAGTCGGAAAGTGGAAAATTCTGAAATCAGAAATTCAAGTCCGAGATACGAAGTGCTTGAACCGACGGACTTCAAATGTTCATTGGTGATGTAATCTTAATGTTACTCCTTCTGTGGAAACTATTCAAGTTGATCCATTCTCAATATATTGTCCCCTTCCCATCCCCTTTTTTGAAAAACGAACCACTTTCTACAACAGTTTGAGACATCACATCAACAATGATCAAATCATTGGAATATTCTTTTGCGAAGTGATCTCTAACTCTCAATTCCCATTGCTTAACAGTTTTAGTTGTCCAATCCGGATACCGTTCCGCTCGGAAATAAAGAACAATCAAGTTCGACGAATTCAAATGTTTTCCGTCTGCAGACATTGATATTCCAAAGAAGTTCGGCTAAATCGAGATGATTTATTAGATAAGGAATTGACTAGTTGACCTACAATCAAACTGAACTTTCTGCCGAAGAAATTGGATGTTGGATAGGAAAGGTCAATTCGTTTTGAGATACCATCAGTATGATTCTTTCCGAGGATTTGTAGACCATTCTGAAAACAAAAATCTGGAAAATAAGCTGAAAACTGAAAACTTACATAATACTGCCGAACGGGTTCATTCGCTTGGCAAAATCCCCTACAGAATTGGTTGAAGTTTTTCTCAACACCAGAAACATTCATTTTAAAGTTGGTAGATACAAAATCAGAAACTTTGACAACTTCTTTCAGACGCTTCTCTTCCAGAAGTGATCCATTCGTTTTCTTGGATCTTATTAAAATGGCAGTAGTGATTCCAGGACCATCAGAATCCAAAAATTGTTGAAAAGTTTTGAACTCATGTCGAGACATTGAGTCATCTGAGGCATATCCATCAATTGCACTCACTTTTCTGAAATTTCATTCTTAGATTGTTTGTTACAATCTGAAAAAAAACTCTAAAAAGCTCCATGCTGCGCCCATTCTTTAATGACGAATATCTCGAAAACCAAAAAAAAACTACCAAGAAGTAGTAAACTGATAAAATTTTTAAAATTTCATGAACTACTTTTTATCACTTCAAAGTTTTCCTATATCTTTCCTAGTTTTACAGTTATGCGCTTAGTATTGCCAACGAGCTCCTGCGTGATCGCTCCTGCTTTCAAAGACGCATATCTCGAAAACCAGAAAAACTAACAAGAAGTTGTAAACTGATAAAATGTTGAAAATTTTATAAGTCATATCATACAGTTGATAAAATTGCATTACCTTCGAAACTGTTGAAGATATAAGCGTTAGAATATGGGGAAGCAGGGAAACAAGATCAACTGAATGTCGGCGCCCTATCTTTAGAGGCGCATATCTCGAAAACTAAAGAATCTATCAAAAAACAGTCGATTAACAAAATATTTAAAATTTTATCAGCTACGCTTTATTAGTTTGAAGTTTTCCTCTACTTTTCCTAGTTGAAACCAAAAAACTCACTCCGTCAATGACAGTTTTATGCTCATAATTGCCGACAAAGTGAGACATAAAACTATTGTTAATACCGGATATCTGGCTACCGTTGACCCAATTTTATAACTCAACGCATTCCATATCCTCGTTACTCGCGAGGTTTCATTTTTATGTCCCATTTTGGCTGAAAAACAAGAAGAATTAGGAGAAAGAAAAAAAAGAAAACAAGTCTTCAACATTCAAAAGTAAAGAAACGTTTTATGTAGAAAGAAAATTCGGGAAATTCAGAATGGGGGGGGGGGGGCTAATTGAAATTCAACGATTCGTGGTTTTTTTCAAAACTTCACAGTGGGATACAAATCAACAACATGAAAAAAAAACAAACACATCTTCGTCTTACAAATTCTAGTTTTCTTATAGGTATTCTTTCTAGTATATTCAGAAGATCATCCTTTTGTGATGAATGGAACTTCAAGAACATAGATATCTTTGTTTCATTTTGAAAAAAAGGGATGACACAGTTGAAATGGACAAAGAAGGTCAAAATTACAACGGAAAAAAATTTGAAGTAGTAGTCAATTGTAGCCTATCTGTCGAAACAGTTTGAAGAAAAATGAGGCAACAAAAAAGGGTGGAACCAGATAAAAAAGCGATTGGGAAGTTTGAAATGAGTCATCCAAGATAGCAATTAAAGTGTTCAAGCTCTTCTTCAAATTTGACGAGTACCTAAAATCCTAGAAACCCAATTAGTTCTTTTCGGTTTTTTAGCTGATCAAAAGTTAGTAAATCAAGGTCAAATCAACGACGTCACAATGGTCACAAAATTACAGAAAAGAGAGATTTTTCAAATAAAAGAAAACTCGTGAGGGAGGGGAATTTTGAGAAACTGAAACAAACAATTACTTGAAAATATGAAATAAAACCACTAGACAAACTTCTGAATTTCTGAATTTCTGAAATTCTAAATTTCTGAACTTCTGAATTTTGGAATTTTCTGAATTTTGAAAAAAAATTCTGAATTTCTGAACAGGGGGAAATCGTTGGAAAATGGGAATCCAGAGGTAGTTTTTTATCGCTCAGAAAGCCAAAAAATGACTCTCTCAAGTTTCACCAAAGCCAAGAATTAGAAATCTGTTATGCGAATTTCAAGTTTCAACAACAATAAAGAAGAATATATGTAGAAAAAAATGTAGAAATCTTGAAAGTGCAATTAACCAGCATTAGAAAAAAACTCTGAATCGAAACTGAAGAGTACTTGAAAAAAATAAAACGGGTGAAAAACCAATTTCCTAGTATTTATATATACTTTGTTCCATTTTAGTACTAACCAAAATTACAGGTTCACGCATTAAATTTGGGTTTTCCAGTGTAAAAGAACGTCTTCTCAGACACTTCGGGTTCTTCTGGGTGACCTTACACAAAATGGAAGCGTGAGTGGACTAGTAGTCGTAGTGACCCCTGTCAAGAAAATTCGACGAACAACAACCAACATCACCCACTAAAACTTTTTCACTTTTCTTCTTTTTTCAAGAAACTGTATGACGAAAGAATCTGGAGAGAGAGAGAGAGGAAGAGATACATTTTCTGTGATTTTTGTTTTCTATTTATGTCAAGTTCGGTGGTTTGAAGGAAGAGATTCTATGACTACAAACGGTCAGTTCTGTTTTGTGTTTTTGGTGGAAGAATAGTTGAACCATTTTGCGAACAAATAAAAACATGTCAGATGACCAGGATGACGAATTCATGAGGGTCATTTGTCTAGATGGATTTGACGGAATGAGTTTCGATTTGCATAATGGTTTTCTTTGGACACGATCTACACCAGTTGTTTGAAACTTTAAGGGATATTCTTCTGCAAACTTAATAAAATTCCGTCCGGTATTATTCTGGCACAAAAATCGAAGCTGTGGAAAAGAAACGGCGGTGGCAGTGGCTCAAGGTCCCACAACGACAACTACCGTAACCTAAAATGATTGTTTCTTTTTTTCTCGATTATTATAACTTTCCGCTTTTATCGTAAACACGCTATTAGAAGGCCATCCAAGCGGTCAGCTTTGCGCCCATGTATCTTCGTTCCTGTGAAAGATATCAAAAAGTGATAAACTGATAAAACATTTTTGATGTTATGATAAACGTTTTTTCGGGCGACCCCATCGTTCGCCTGCTTCAGATTGCGCCACCGTAGCTCAGCAGGAAGCAACTTAGCACCTCCAGCGTTGAGTCCACAATTTCAACTCCTCGAGGGGCGTTTTTAAACGGGACTTCGAGAAAAACATATTTTAATGTCCCACCACCTTTTAGACACAATCTACTACAGCATTTTAAATTTTCATGGCAGATTTTCTGCAAACTTTAAATCACTTTTAACTTTTAATCAGGGTGCCGTGTTCTTTTTTTCTCACTTCAAATTTGCCAGCTGAAGAAGTTTGAATCATTATGAAAACTCTGTGAAAATGAAGCAATTTACAATCGTATCACTATTCATTATGTTGGTTTCTTCGTTTTCTTCTTCTCCTTCCAAATGTCAAAACTCTTCATTTGTATTAACCTACAACGAAGACAAAAGAGCATTCCACAGTCGACACTTTCATATTTTCTACGAAAATGGATTCAAAGTATATCTATCGAATTTTAAAAAATATTTGAACATTCAGTTTTTTTTTTAGAATTTAGCTGAGATGATTGAATGTCGAGTTGCTGGAACTGTGAAGAAAGTGAGTGTGGAGGAGATACAAAAAGGAACATTGGAAGAAATTTGTAAATCGAAAATTTATTCGTCGAAATTGGAAGATAAACTGAAGAAGAAGAATTATATGACGACGATAACGAAACAGAGCAGAGTGAGCAGATCCTAAAAGTTTCCATTAAAATGTGGTACATTTTTCAGTATTCGGATCAGGAGATGTCTTGTGATGCAATGAATCAGTTCAACCTTATCCAAACCGGGGAAAGAAAATGGGCGGTGCTCATTCGAGGACATGCTACCGATATTCTGCTCCCTATAAAATCTAATAATGGTATAGAAACCACGTCTTGAACTAAAAAATTATGTTTCTCTTTCAGGAATTTTTACGAATCATGCTCTTGACTTTGTCTTGAACTCTTTATTTTTTGCGACTGCCTACGGATTCGGTGAATCGACTTTCAAATCTTTGGGAGGCGATACTGGTGTCAAGGGGGTATCCATAATTAATGTTATCTGACAGATTTTTAAATATTTTTATTTCCAGCAACTTTTATTCGTCACATTCATTGTCTACTGTCTTGCTGTTCTTGTGGCAATAGTGGCTCTGGTCATTTTGGTGGCTCTGTTTTTTATCAAAAGAAATGCTAACATCAAGAAAAGAGAAAGTGAAAAGAGCAAGCTGCTGAGAAATCCTGCTAATAATACCGACGACGATACTCCTGTTGAAATTGTTTATGAGAACCCTTCCAAAAATAAATAATTTTTTATATTACCGTGTTTTTTGTTTAAAGGCGCATATAAGTTTATTCAGCTATGAGTCTCGCCCCGCTTACAGTTTCGCGGTGAAAAAAAAGAATGAAATCATAAATGTCGCGGGCCGGGCCGGTTGAGGAATTTTCACTGGCCCAGCCCGGCTGGCCCGGGTTTTTGAGGCAAAATTTTTAAGAGTCATTTTTTGAGAGAAAGCTGGATTTTTGGGAGCATTTTAAATATCAAAGTTTCTTTGTTTTCAGCTTTGAGAAGGGTCCTGGGATAAATTTCGTGCTTTAGAATGATTATTTTCAGAAAAGTTTATCAAAAATCAACTGAAAATTTTTGAAATTTTTGGAACCCGGGCCGGGAAAGTTTTTCTCATTTGACTGTAATTAAAGAATTGGGGAGTCCCACGGAAATGAACTCGCCGAAAATGAACTCGCCCGAAAATGAACTCGCCACAGAAATGAACTCGGCGGAAATGAATTTGCCGAAAATGAACTCGCCAAAAATGAACTAGCGAAAAATGAACTTGCCCGAAAATGAACTCGCCCAATATGAACTCGCCCGAATATGAACTCGCCCGAAAATGAACTCGTTCGTGGCCGCCATAATTGAAAGCATTACGCCCGTAGGCTGAAAA